AAGATTGAACACTTGATCTTTATTAATGTTACTGAGAATGTATAATTTTTATTAGCGTTTTTAAGTGTAAAATTGTATAATTCCTATTATTTAATTATAGTTTCAACTGAAAATATTATCTCTAGATAGCTGTATAGTCTTTAGATAATGAAATATTTCGTTTTAGATTAGACTTTACCATTCTCTTCATTAAGATTAATATTCATAAGGTATCTCCAAGAACTGTATTTTCTCTTTTTTTTTTCTTTTCTTTAAATAAATTCTTTGCTACAGGTTCAGAAATCTCTCAACACTTATTCTTTCTTTTTAGAATAACGGACTGCATTTCTTAACAGGAAAAAAAAAAGTTGTTTTTTTTTTCTTTTCCATTTTAAGCGTTGTATTGTGACAGCGACATTTGCTTCTAAAGAATATTCCAACATTAATTAGATACACTGTTTTTTTTTAATACACTTTTGTTTTATTTTATTTTATTTTTTTTTTATTTCTTGATGGAAGAGAAATGGTGCAGACGGGGTGGATAGGACACATGACAAGTAGGTATAAAAATTGTCAGTGCCAGGAACGTACAGAAGCAACGAACGAATGTTAGAATTAATTGACAGACAAAAAGGAGGAAATAGAAAGAAGAGGAAAGAGATAGGTTGATGGCACATTAAAAAGGTTATCAAGGCTACGGGAAAATATCATACGCAGCATACAGAACGTCTAAAAATGAATACCTATATACATATATAATATCAATACCTATATACATAAAATATGTATGTTAGTGCACGTCCGTACACACATTACATACATGCATCCATCCATATATATATATATATATATATATATATATATATATATATATATATATATATATAAAAAAAAAAAAACAGTAAGATATATAATCCGGTGTTCTTATAGATATTTTTTTTTTTTATTTTTTACAAAATAGTGCTCAATGTAAATTTACAGAGCATTAATATATATATATATATATATATATATATATATATATATGTGTGTGTGTGTGTGTGTGTGTGTGTGTGTGTGTGTGTGCGTATAATATATATGTGTGTGTGTGTCTGTATTGATGTAATAGGAAAGAATATTTAGGTTGATGATCCAAAGTTCTTTGGTATTTGGATTTTCATTTTGTAAAAACAGTGCTCAATACAAAAAGTAGAGCTCAAAATTATAATTATTATTATTTTTTTTTTTAAATATAATTGCCCCGCGACACAGAAATTACTATGTTTCGAATTTGAAACTCGAAAGGTCGCTTGAGAATGAAAATGTCCTCTGGATTTAGGGTTTAATATAGAAATTAAACTTTGGCACTTGGGTTTCAGTTTCGAAACAGAGTAATTTCTGTGCCGCATTGGAATCTTTTAAAAATAATTTTATTTTAGCTTCCATTTTTGAAACATGGTTAGAACTGTGTAGCGAAAAAACATATTTAAATAAGTTAATTTATAATATATATATATATATATATATATATATATATATATATATATATATATATATATATAAAAGGAACTATATATAGTGTGAGGTGGGAGAAAAACTTTTATGATATGATATAAAACCATCTTATTTATATATATATATATATTATTTTGGTCATACATTTTGATGTTTAATTTTATATTCATGTGACGTTCCGTCGTTATGGTAACCTGAGTGATAACTTAGCGACAATAAGTTAATATGCCCGTTTTAACATAACCACGTCATATATTATTAGAAAACAGGGAAGCTGGAATCGGTAATAAGCTGCTTTTATTTATTTTGTTCCATGATATATTTCTTTTGAAAGTTTTTCTTACATGCAACAATAAAAATTGCTAACTATGACAAATGCAAAGAAATTACTTAAATACATTTTCATTCTATATCCACACACGAAGACGCAAAGAAAGAGAGGGAGGCGTACCGAAAAAAAAATGAGATTTTTTTTCATTTAGTAAGATATTGAGAAACTGATTGCGCCAAGAATTTTTCAGCACACCTATATATATATATATATATATATATATATATATATATATATATATAAATATATTTTATTCATATAGCGATTTTCCAAGCGTAGCTCAAATGTGGCACAAGGCCGAAAGTATGGGGCACGCAGTGAGGATCGAACTCACTATTCAATCGTAATAGTTCTAGCGAGACAAGCTTGCTAACCATTACACCAAATCGAGATGACATATCTTTCTGTTTATATCTTCTCGCTCTATATGTATGCAGAGAAATGCTCACCCATACGTTCACCCATGCATATCACAAGATTGACACACGCAATCGAATATATATGTGTGTGTGTGTGTGTGTGTGTACATGTACATGTGCTGTGTATATATATATTTATATATATATATATATATGTGTGTATATATATATATATGTGTGTGTGTGTGTGTGTATATATATATATATGTATGTATATATACATATATATATATATATATATATATATATATGTATATATATATATGTGTGTGTGTGTATATATATATATATATGTATATATATATATATATATATATATATATATATATATATATATATATATAAAATATATATATATATATAAATATATAATATAAAATATATATATAAAAATCCTGTATAGACATAAATAAAAGGTTACTTGTAAGAAAGAAGGAATAAATCTATATAGTCTTAATTTTATGTAACACATTTTGTTTTTTCTCTCATGTCAATGCAAAACAAAGGAACCTATATATATATATATATATATATATATATATATATATATATATATATGTGTATATCCAAGTTCCACATAGCTGAATGAAGATGAGAACGATAATGGCTAAAAAATATTGCAAAAAAAATGTAATAAGAGTTCAGCATAAAACTAAATCAACAAAAAAAAAATCAAATGAATCAAAGAATGTGATGATGATGATGATGATGATGATGTGAAGAAAAGTCATCCGTTAGTTTTCCTTGACAATTATTTTTACATCCTCTTCGCCAGTGACGTATTTAGGTGTCGAGCAATTAGTAGCAATGAAGCGGCCTGCAGGTTGTGTGTCACTAGTTAAAGAAATAAAGAAAGACAAAAAAAAAAAAGAAACAAAAAACGAGAGAAAATAGAGACTTATATAAAAAGGATAAAAAAAAGAAGAGAAACCTAACAGAAAAAGAAATTGATATCGTAAAAGAATATTTTGTCGACGACACACAGAAAATAATCCTAAGTCAGACGAGAAACGTATTCATGTATGGGAGTTGAAAAACGCATCATCATGATGCGTTTTTTTTTTTTGTTTATTTATTTTATAATTGTATTTGTATTAATAATGAAAAATATAAAACCAATGAACTAAGTCAGCAATGTCGTGTGATTAAATGAACAAAAAAAAATAATAATAATTCAGCTCAAACCTTAAACTTATACAGTGATGTTTTCTTTACTTTTCACGTGAAATTTATCCTTTCCCATGATACTACAAAATTAAAATTAAAACTGTAAATTAAAAAATCGAAAAGATAATACAGAAAAATTGCATTCACAAATACAGCTTTTTAAATGATATTTTTCTCATTTCGAGTGGGCCAAAATTCACAGAGTGATTTTAAATAAATCGGCTTGGATTGAGGGATCGGAGAGCCGAGTTCGAATTGCAGTCGAATCCATTTCATTCACTTACGTGCTAATACCCTTGAGAAAGGTATAAATCCTCTTCTCCCCACTCCTTCACCAGCTATGGGTAAATAGCAGGACAGACCGGGTTCTATAGCCTTGGATGGCAACTAGTCTACCGCAGGAAGAAATGGCAACCAACTACGGGAAAAAAAAATCTGCCTCATCAGTTATGTATCGAAATATACATGATCACCTAAGCGTGTATCACGCATGACACATAACTGACTGACTTTATACATTGCGATGTTTCGAATTTACAATACGATAGCGTCAGCTACAATATATATATATATATATATATATATATATATATATATATATATATATATATATATATATATATATGAAATTAAAAATTGCTCTCGTTATTTGCATGCATTTTTATTTTATTTTTTAAATATTAAAATATCAGTCGCCTTCGTGACATTTAGCCATCACCTGTATATATAATACTGCCATTCCATTAGCAATATTTTATTGATTTCTGACAACTTCATCTTTTGTGGTGTATTCTTTCAGGATTTAAGCGATCATGGCTCTCCACAATTTCCTGTCCTTTGTCGCTCTTAATAATTTTTGTCTGTTCTGTTATCCATTTACATAAGCTCGTTAGGTAGATAAAGAGCGGTTTTTCTCTCATTTTATTTTCAATCTGTCCTGTGAGTATCAAATTTTCCAAGCTCTCTTTCCTCATTATGCGCTCTAGAAATTTCAACTACCTGTTTCTGATGTTAAGTATAAGTGTCCTTTTTGTTTCCATTTTCTCTAAAACTTCGTCGTTGCTCACATGTTCATTTCATAGTATTCTCAATAGCCTTCTGTAGAACCACATTTCTGTTGCTTCAAGTCTTTTCTTCATTATGTAAGAATTCCGTACTCATTTTTTTTCTTTCTAACGAAATTTTCCTGATTCTTAATAATTTGCCTAGATATTAGAAGGCATCTTTCGCTATCCCAGTACGCCTTAGTGAATTTATATAATAAAATTTATTTGAACTGCTTTTACCTATTAGTTATATGTGCACTTATATTAATACCCCTGTGTAGGGCCTATGAGAAGGGTTGTCCAGGTGGTACTTTGTTCCGGTACCTAAGAACTAAGAAGGGCCTCACAGTGACCATTCAACATCCATCCACTCTAGAGAACAATAACTTTCTACTATCACCAGTCCGACATACGCTTACATTCAGATACTCAAACATCACTATACTTATCACACCACACTTACTTCTTTTTATTAGTATTTATTATTAATTATTCTAGGCCTATTTGTATAAATATATAATAACACCAAGAAGAGTATCTACCTAAAGCCAGGGATAGATGCATAGATGCGTAAATAAGCGTAATGATGTGGAATAAAAAAATAGTTCCCGGAAATGTATATACGTAAACCAATTTCCCAGGAACCGCATTAACCCTAACCGTAAAAAGCTGTTACATTCATTTTCAGCCTTGACAGACGATGGTCGTCAGCCCGTCATAACTGTGAGTGATAGTCTTCATTTAACGCACAGCTACTGATCAATCCTGTCATTATGGTTAGATTAATTAATTTTATTATTATTCATGTTATATTCCATTTCGACGAGAAAGATTCGTTGAATTGATGCTGCCTGTTGAGACAGTGCTGAACCAATCAAAAATCGAGCTTCAAGTTTCGATTTGGAGCCACAAAGGGAAAAGGAAGACAAGGAGAAAATGTGAAACAAGAAGAAAGCCTAGCAGAGCCATCTCTCAAATTGATGGACATGAGTTCAGCCAATATCCTCACAGAGAAGCGCTTATGCCACCAAGACTTGAACTCTACCACACTGACGACCGTAGGGGGTCAAGAATCTATCGACTTATTCCCGTCAGGGTATGGCGTACAGTGATATCTGTCAATAAAATGTCGGGATTTAGGAAGAATATCCCATTTTAGACTTACTGAGGTTGGGTTCAAGTCATAGCAATCACATCCGGGTATTTAAAAGTAATAAATATCTGCAGAAGATTGGAAATAAGGGAGATTACTCGAGCGGCCAAAACAATTCTCTGAGCGAACAACAGCTATTTGCCATTTGGTCTCTCTTTTCTCTTTTTAGAGAATTTATGAATAGTTTATTTATATCTCGGTCTGGCTTACTTGATGCAAGATTGGTGTTTCCCTCTTCCTAGATATATATGCCAACATAAACATACATACATATATTCTGAACAATTTGATTTCTTTTTAAAACGTTTGTTCAGTGTTCAAGTCCCGGTAAAACTCAAGATTTATAATACTTGAAATGACAATTCTATCGTCCGGTTCGCACTCCTCCGTTGTAATAGAGGTTTATTCGTATTTCCTGTTTAGGATCGGGTTTATGGTTCCTTCTAATGTCTTTTTCGTTCTCTTTCACTCCTTGCATCTTAGTGAGATTACCGCCTTGCTTGGGGCGAATTTTTTTTTTTTTTTTAATAAAGAAAGGTGGGGAGGTTAATAAAATTAAAATCTTTATCAACTTGGTATTTCAGTATTCTATCTATCGGACGAACGTTTGAAGATCTAGTTCACAGACAGTAAAAATTGTACTGAACTGACAGATTAAAGCATCAACCAATTGGTTAACAAATGACTGGTGCTACATTTTCGTACAAATCAGTAACTCTACGTAGATTAATGTGGCTTGAAATGAAAACGGCATTGGAGGAGGAGGAGGAAGAAAAAGAAGAAGAAGAAGAAGAAGACGAAGACGAAGAAGAAGAATTATTTATTATTATTTTTTATTATTATTATTATTTTATTGTTTATTATTATTATTATTATTATTATTATTATTCATTATTATTAAATGGATTTCATTCATATATATCACAGATTTTACAAACATAACAATTTAATGATGCCAGATTTATGCTATAACAACGCGTTCTTTTTTTATCGCTGAGATGATTGATAATGTTATATCAAATAATTTTATATGAAATAATAGTAACAATGAGTCATTTTATGTCAAATAAATGAAACGCCAAACTATAAAATTCGCACACTTTCCAGCTGCGTCTCACCTGACACCAGAAGCGAAATAGTCTTGTATTATTTGTATACTTTTGCCGAAATTCCAACATAGAAAGAAAAATGTTCAAACATTATTTATACGGGGAACAAACTTTATTGATACATAAAGGCATTTAACAAATAATATTTGAATCAGATTTACGATTTAAGTGAGACAATATGAAGTACTTTTCCTGCAGATATGGCCATTTTAAATGTTTGCAAAAAAATATGTAGAGTAGCTGATGTTTTTGAACGAACATTTATTTATAGTTTCAACGTAAGCAACGGGATAATGCCGCTAAGACGCAAGGGTTTGCTGAGAATGAAAGTAAACGAGAATACGCTATTTATCAAAAGGACGCTCTGTATTAAGCACTCTTTTAAGAATAGTATTTTTTGGTTATTGGAATTTATTCCGTATACACCAATCCGATACCTGTATATATATATATATATATATATATATATATATATATATATATATATATATATATGCTGTGTGCGAGTGGCCTGCAGGCGTATTAAGTGCAATTGTATGGGGGGGTATAAATGCACAATATAACGGAGACGCTGGCTAATGGAATAATCTCACAATATTAGTTTTTATAAAGTGTGGACATGTAATTTCTGTATGCAAAATCACTTTCTGTGTACATTGCTTGTTTACTTATTTGCGTTTAATATACATTTATTGTGCGTGTATATATGTTTGAATCCATGTATGCAATATCTTTGTATGTAATTTGAAACCCGATGATCTAATGACTCGTGACATATGCACCGAGTGACCCTCACTGTGTCGTCCGAATGTCTGATACTCGGCTTTTCATCAGCTCAGCTGACGGCTTGAGCTCCACTTGCAAGACTGAATGATCCTAGAGTTTCTAATCTTCAATCGTCAACATTGCATCATTTTTTTTTCAACCGATAGAAATAAAATGATCGAACAGAGATTAGCGAATTTTAACAGATTTAATCGAACAAGCAAATCCTGACGCGCGATTGTAAATCTCTCGCTTACGACTTTATTTTTAATCATGTCACACCAAGCAAGACAATAAAGCCACTAAGATGCACGAGGTTATTGAGTGTGAAAGAACATGAGAAGAAAGACAATGATTATTAAGAAGAAAGGTCAATAAAAGAAGGGGAATTAAGAAGACAAGATTACGATGGACATTGCGTTTAAAATTTTGAAGATCATATTTGAGCTGAAAGGAAGAATCTGGAAGAGAGTTCTAAAAGCGAGAGAAGAAGCTGTTAACATGAATCTTACGGTTGCATTTAGCCGTTTCAACGGTAAATCTGCCAATAAGGCGCTGTGCTTAAATTCGTATGGTCGAGGTATTCGTGAGATAGATAGATAGATAGATAGATAGATAGATAGATAGATAGATAGATATAGAGAATGTGTGTGAGAGAGAGAGAGAGAGAGAGAGAGAGAGAGAGAGAGAGAGATCAATGAAGAGAAAATATACCAAAATACAAACTGACATCTACCATAAGGGGTACAAAGAGAGAAAAGCAGGCTGGTGTTGAAAAGTACTTGGCCCAATCTAGTATCATTTCTTATATACGTTAACAAAATAGAAGGCGAGAGATGACAACAAAGATAGATGCCAGCATATATATATATATATGTATGTATGTATGTATGTATGTATGTATGTATATATGTATATCAACAAAGCAATGAGATATCAAGAAAGAGCGAGAAAGATTTCAGCAAAGTGAGAGAGAGGTAAAGAGAGAGAGAGAGAGAGATGTTAACAACATGTATAAACAGAGAAAGAGATGGATCTTGACCGTAATAGTCTGGAAGAGATTTGAACAAAACGAAAGAGGAAGTGCGTAGCGTACACATGCATACACCAGAAAATGAGACTATGTGAGACGATGAATGGAGTGAACAATTCATAATATGGTTATTGGTTTACACTAAAGACTACATTCTTTAGTGGATAATTGTAACTCGATATTCTTTATAGTATTTCAACGTGTCACACCTTCTCCAGACGCCAATTCTAATCCGTGTCTTAATGTAATAGGGACAAACTGAACACATTTCGTTGAGGAAGAAAAGCTTTCATAATCTATAATATTGTTCATACTTTATGAATTCAAATAGCTTTCTACCACCAAAGAGAATACAAATGATAAAATATTGTTTAATAGCCAGAGAAGTTTAGAAGGTTTATTTTTATTTCCTTATTATATCCATTGAATCGAAGATCATTGATATTATGTAGTTATTGCAATACATTTCATTAGACTATCTATCAATCTATCTATCTATCTATATATATATATATATATATATATATATATATATATATATATATATATATACATACATACATATATATATATATATACATACATACATATATATATACATATATACATACATATATATATACATATACATATACATATATATATATATATATATATATATATATATATATATATATATATATATATATATATACATACATATATATATATATATATATATATATATATATATATATATATATATATATATATATATAGTAATTTTATAAGGCAACGCATATTTTATATATCAATCCAACAGATTTTAATAACTTAAAATTATTTTTACTGGATACTCATGTTTGACTAGACACTCTATATAAACAAACTGTTTAATATATATATATATATATATATATATATATATATATATATATATATATATATATATATATATATATATATATATAAATATAAGAAAGAACAGTAAGATATATAATCCGGTGTTCTTATAGATATTTTATTTTACAAAATAGTGCTCGATGTAAATTTACAGAGCATTAATATTATAAATTAATTGATTAAGAACACCGAATTATATAAAAGCGGAAAAAACATATTTTAAATCAATTAATTTATAGTATATATATATATATATATATATATATATATATATATATATATATATATATATATATATATATATATATAGACAGCATTCTTTATCAACAATGTTTATATATACAAACGATCAGTTTACGATACCTATTGCTATTTCACAATAAATATAGCAAATTTTAACACCATATAATTTTTGTTTTCCTACACATACCTAAGATAAATTTTATAACTATTAACAAAACAGGTCAATTATAACAATATATTTTAAGGAAGTTTGTTATCGTAAATCTTAGCAACATCAATATATTTCGAAGTAAAACTTCCGAATTGTACCTATCTGTAGTTGGTAGCGGATATCTGAAATCATAGATAAATCGATGGACAGAACCACTGAATATAAACA